AGTCATCCAGCATTAACTTAGAAGGTTTTAACATTGTCTTGACCCTGGGTAATGTGACCATACTTTTATTTATTTATTTATCTAGCTATTTATTTATTTATTTATTTATTTATTTTTGTCCTTCAGCCTCATAAGTCAATGCGTCAATTATACTTTTAAAAATTGATTTTCATCTCATGAATTCATAAATCTAGTCACATTTTAGTATTTCCACAACTTTATGACATGCTGTAAATGTTATTTGAGCAATTTCTGATGTGGTCTGCTGTATAATCAATGAGTTTCCTCTTCCTTTTTCTGGATATACCTTATTTTTGAATCATTAATATCGAACTCAAGGCCAACTGCACTTTGTTCAGCTCATACCTGAACAAAGCTTATGTAACACATATACTTTCTTTAAAAGGCACATTACAGCCTTCTTGTGCTTAAAAAAACTAGACAGCCAGCCTGTCTAGTACCATGCTTAAGAGCCATTTTTGGCCAGGCATGGTGGCTCACGCCTGTAATCCCAGCATTTTGGGAGGCTGAGATGGGTGGATCACAAAGTCAAGAGATCGAGAGCATTCTGTCCAACATGGTGAAACCCCGTCTCTACTAAAAACACAAAAATTAGCCAGGCGTGGTGGTGCACGCCTGTAATCCCAGCTACTCGGGGGGCTGAGACAGGAGAATCGCTTGAACCTAGGGGGGCAGAGGTTGCAGTGAGCCATGATCGTGCAACTACACTCCAGCCTGAGTGACTGAGCAAGACTCCATTAAAAAAAAAAAAAAAAAGCAAAAAATTGTTAGTAAATAAACTGTAAAAATGACATATATTTATGGTATGAGAACCAAATGAAGAAATTAGAATGAGTGTCATTTTGTTCAGCCTCAACTAGAAACAGCCATAATGGATAACTAAAATTTCTTGTGCTTCTGTGTAATTCTGAGTGACCATGAAAGTCTAGTGAGTATCGACTGTGACATTACAAATACATTTCAGTAAGAGGACAAATTCATAAATATGTAATCTGTGAAAATAATAAGGATTGGTTATATTTAATTCCACTGGAATGCAAATATATGCATGGAATGATATCAAAAACTTCAAGATAGTGCTTAAGTCTAGCAAGGAAGGAGGTAAAAAGGATGTTTATGTGGGTCTTAGTTTTATCTGTAACATTTCATTTGTTAATAGAGAAAAATATTTCAAACAAATATTGCAAAATGCTGTCTCTATAATCTCTAATAAGTATAATTTTAAAATATTTGTTTTAAAATATTTGAAACACTTTTAACATTATATGTTAAATTTTAAGGACATTTACAAATTCTATTTGCAAAAACTTAAAAAATAATAAAAAATTTCATGGGAAGTGGAAACTTGGGCCATGCTGTCAGTTTTGGCACAGAAGGGAGATTTTGAAATATCTATTGGTTGAAGCACAAATCTGACAAGTGAAGTGACAGAGGCCTAGATATACACAGAGTACTAAAAGGGACTCTTCCAATACATTTAGAAAACGGTATAATCGTTGTAATTTTCAATACATATTTGACTGTGAGATATTAACATTCTTAATATTCAGTGACTTAAAAACTTAAATCTATTAAAATGCCCTAAGAAGGCCTATAAAGCAATCTCCAATTATTGATAGCATGCTCTTCCCACATATCCCCAATAATTTTGACTAACTCTGAAATGGTGACCTCCTATTCCTTAAAAACATCAATTTCTTTCTTTCCTGCATATACTATCCAAATAGAATGCCTGCTATTTTTTTGGACAAGTAGTAACCCACTATTACTGATCAAATACTCTGAGGACCAGGGTGTTTTTAGTTACCATTTTTTTTCCACACAGATGATTGCAATACTTTATTATAAACTCCCTGAGGAAAAATTGTTTATTTTTTTTAATCATTATACCAAAACTATCTGGACCTTGGCCACTGTGGCTAGAAATAATATTTATAGCCCAAGCTGCACAAGTTCAATAAAGACTATGATTATTGTCAGCACTCAGAAACTGCAGCTTCTAGCTATAGTGTAGTATCAAACATGGCAGGAACATTGCTTGAATGAAGCAGTAAGAAATTTCAAAAGGTGTAAAACAGATTCTCATCATCCTCCTTATTTCTTAAACATTATTTATAACCATATTGAGACCAATTTGTGTGAGTCTCTGTTAATAGGGAAACAAATTTTATTTTTGTATCTATTTGTTTTTAAATAATGAATCAGCATAAGTAATTTGCATGCAGGTCATTATGCATTGACAGTTGTATAGAAATAAATTTGGCCTCACTCAAACAGACATCTGACATTTTTTTTTTTTTCTGGATCCAAGGAGGTAAAGTCTAAAACATTGGAATTTCCCCAGTGCTAAAAGTTTCCATATTATTTCTGATGAGTTGCTCACACCATACCTAATAGTTGATGTTAACAAAGTGACTCAGGGTGGGACTGGCCACACATCATAGTCTTAGAGTAGAGGCTGGCCATGCCAGAAAGACTAACCAAAGGAAAGAATTAGAGTGGGCCTTTTGGTCATGGGATATCATTCCACTTCTGGGAAGGGAGGGAGATGGAGACTGAGTTCAATCATGTGAACAATATAATCCATCAATCATACTTAAGTAATGAAGTTGCAATAAAAACTCTGAAGACTGAAGCGTGTATGAACTTCCCAGATTGGCAATGTGCTATGTTTATTGTCACATACTAATACTGAAGCATAACATGTCCTGAAGATAAAGAAGGCTTTCTGTTTGGAACCTTCCCAGACTCTGTGCTATGTGTTTCTTCCCTTGACTAATTTTAATGTATCGTTCCCTGTAATAAACAGGACGTAAATATAATAAGTTTCTGTGAGATCTGTGAGTCTTTAGTGAATTATTGAAACTGAGAGCAGACTTGGTTGTCTGCAGAACTGCCTCTTTACCTCAGTGTTTGGCAAACTTTGAAATAATGATGTGTTATTTTCTAGAAGTAGGTTTAAGCTGAACAGAAAGCTAACAGTTTAGTTTTCTGACAATTGGGAGAGAAGGGCTACAGATCAACTATTCCAAACCAAAATACATCTTGTTATATATTTTTAAATATTTAATAAGGTTATAAGTAGTATGTTTATTTATAATAAGATACCTTATTTATATTCCTTGGTGTATATTTCCCAAAAGTACATCTAGAAGTGTTGTAAAATAATGTTGCCCAAAGTGATACACTCTCTACATGAATATATTATGCATATTTTGTTTAAGCTGAGACAACATTGGATTATCCCTGACTTAAAAATCTTTCTAGGTAAAACAATTTCAGCAATGTTGAGTGGAAAGAACTTGAGTGTCAATTGCTCATCCCTTTATATATGGGAACAGAGTCAAAACAATCATCTAAAAATAATCAAAGTTTGTTTTATAACTATGTACTAAGCTCACCTCAGACTAAGAGAAGAAATGCTTCCATTATGGTACATATCCTAGTGAGGCAACCTGTCTTAACTTAAAAATGAAACAAAATAGTATGGCATAGCAGACATTGGAGATTCTGTGGGAGGATAAAAAGGGGGTGAGGGATGAGAAATTTCATAATGCATATAATGTATGTTATTCAGGTGCTGATTACATTAAAAGCCCACACACTAAAACCCCAGTATATCCATGTAGTAAAACTATGCTTGTATGCCTTAAATGTATACAAAAATAAATAAATATCATTATAGTCAACCTACTTTCAGTTTGATTGCTTATTCAAGTGTACATGTCTGTGTAACTAGTAGTATGGAATAATTATTTCCACGTATGTATTAGTGAGTACGATTTTGAGCTACCAACAATCAAATCAAATTTCACTTAATAAAAGTATGATTTTTTTTTCTTTTTCATTATTCCTATTATATCAAATACATGTATCACAACTGTCTTTTTGGTATTCTAAAATACTTCCTAGATGAAGCCATCCTCACAAAGAACAGGGCACTGTGACAGAGACTACTTATTCTCTGCTAACCATTCTACCCAGTCACCACAACAAAAGAGAAAAAGGAAAAAACAAAACAACCCTGGTTATCATCTGGACACATCACTCCCCAGGATAAATATTATATTTCTTATTCCTTAGCTCTAGATGTGGCTATGTGATAGTGTGATAGAGGCTTCTTTTTCTTTTTCTTTTTCTTTTTTTTGAGACGGAGTCTCACTCTGTCGCCCAGATTGGAGTGTAGCCGCGGGATCTCAGCTCACTGCAAGCTCCGCTCCCGGGTTCACACCATTCTCCTGCCTCAGCCTCCAGAGTAGCTGGGACTACAGGCGCCCGCCACCACGCCCGGCTAATTTTTTCTATTTTTAGTAGAGACGGGTTTCACCTTGGTCTCCATCTCCTGACCTCCTGATCCACCCGCCTCGGCCTCCCAAAGTGCTGGGATTACAGGTGTGAGCCACCGGGCCCGGCCGATAGAGGCTGCTTAATGGCAGCCTTGAAAGAATAGAACAGGATTAAGATCATGAATAGACAGTTCTCCAAAGAAGATATACAAATGGCCAAAAAAAAATATGAAAAAATCTTCAACATTACTAATGATCATGGAAATGCAAATTAAAACCACAATGTGATATCACCTAACTTCTGCAAGAATGGCTATAACCAAAGAATAAAAAAAAAAGCAGATGTTGGCAGGATGCAGCCATCAGAGAACACTTCTACACTGTTGGTGGGAATATAAACTAGTACAGCTGCTATGGAAAACAGTTTTGAGAGTCCTTAAATAACTAAAAATACAACTACAGTTAGATCCAGCAATCCCACTACTCGGTATCTCTTCCGTGCGGGAAATGCGTGAGGGGCGAGGAAAAAGCACACACCCAATACCTTTAAGGGTAAAAAACCTTTATCTCATGTAAAAGGCAATGCAGATATAATAAGCAAATGATATAATAAGCAGACGATATAATAAGCAGATTAATATAATAAGCAAATTGTAATAGGAAGGGGAGAAGGGAAAAGATATTCACACTCACCAAACTATGGAGGATTCACCACCAGACTGGGAAGCAACAGCCTGGGCTCCAGAGTGGGCCACCGGTCCCTGCACAGACAAGGAGAGGTCTCATGAAGCTTGGGCACAGTCTGGGACCCTGGCTCTTTTTGTAACAAGTTTTTTTGACATGAGGCCCAGTCACGAGGGCCCTTGGAGACTGAGTTCAAGGAACACAAAAAGGTCAACTTGTTTTTCAATAACTAACGTATAGGAATAGATTGAAATAGAGATTTCTCGGAAGCAGAGCTGGATGAATGCCTCGAGGGGCTCACACAACCTGTTCCAGTACTTGGTGACCATTGTTTGTGTCCATGTTCAACTGAGTTCAAATTTAATGTTTAACTTTTCCTCCACAGTATCTACCCAGAGAAAAATAAGTCATTATTCAAAAAAGATACTTGCACATGCATCTTTATAGTAAAACTAGGCCTCATAATTCCTAAGCCTCATAAAATTTAGAAAGCTTGGCCATCATGAAACTTAAACCCCAGATGGCCATGGATAGCCCCCCGATGTTCCCAGAACCCAAACAGAAAGACAATTCCGGGAAATAGCCTCATGGGGTCCCACCCTGATAACCTCATGGGGTCCCACCCTGATAACTTCATGGGGTCCCACCCTGATAGCCTCATGAGGTCCCACCCTGATAACCTCATGGGGGTCCCACCCTGACTCAATGTCCTCGATGTTCCCGGAATCAGCAATTCCAGGAAAGAACCTCCTAAGGTCCCGCCCCAACCAATCAGAACAAGATACCTTGCTCAGGCCATAGACAGACCCAATTACCATGCGCCTAAAGCTTTGTTTGAATTTCGCGCCCTAAGCTGTGTTTGAACTTGTGTTTGCCTATATAAACAACCTGTAACAAGCACTCGGGGTCCCAGGGCCAACTTAGAGCTTGGGACCCTAGCGCGCTAGTAATAAATAACTCTCTGCTGTGAATCTCGTGTGGGTGATCCTTCGCGGCGACCCCTGCCCAGGGGGGAATCGACAGTTCGGTTCCAACAATAGTAGCACAATTCACAGTTACAAAATCATGGAGCCAACCCAAATGTCCCTCAGTCAATGAGTGAATAAAGAAATTGTGACTTCTATCTATCTATCTATCTATCTATCTATCTATCTATCTATCTATCTATCTATCTATGATGGACTACTACTCAGCCATAAAGAAGAATGAATGAACAGCATTTGCACTGACCTGGATGAGATTGGAGAATATTATTCTAAGTGAAGTAACTCAGGAATCGAAAATCAAACATCATATGTTCTCACTGATGTGTGGGAGCTAAGCTATGAGGATGCAAAGGCATAAGAATGATACAATGGACTTTGGGGACTTGAGGGGAAGAGTTGAGGGGCGAGGGATAAAATACAATAGATGCGGTGCAGTGTATACTGCTGAGGTGATGGGTACCCCAGGATCTCACAAATCACCACTAAAGTACTTACTCATGTAACCAAATACTACCACTACCCCAATAACTTATGGAAAAATAAAATAAAATAAAATAAAATAAAATAAAATAAAATAAAATAAAGAAAGGAGAAAACAGTTACCTTGCCATACAAGGATACAAGCCTGCAGTCAAAGACAGGAATAAGACGTTGCCATCTCACCCAAGCCTCTTTAATCATATAGTTTCCAAAGATATTCCAATAATTTAGAGAAGATGAGGGACTGGGACATAGCTGAGCATGGTGCGTAAGGAAAGAACCACAGTCTTCAGATTCAACCTACATCTAGGCAAGATCTCTAGCTTTTATTAGTTATATATAACCCCAAAACTAAGTTGTCAAAGAATCTCTTACACAGAAAATCATTCTTGGCTTGTAAAAGCCAGTAGTTGCTTAGTCCCTAAAGTTAACAAGAATAACACTCCCAGTCCTCCCAGCCCCCACCCTACCACCATACCCACAACTATTCCATCAGCAGGATGCTGGCTAGGAATTTTGCAGTACCCATAAAGAGCATTAAGATTTACTTAAGATATGACCATGAAAAATCGATCAGGAAGAACTTCCCAGGGAGATATGGATTGCTAGGTAAGCTAGCCAAACACTTTGTACTTTATAATTCATATATGGTAAGATTTGATCATTGCTATAGACATATAAGAACTATATGTTTCTCATTATACTTTTTCCCTAATGAGTATATTGTCAGGCCTCTGAGCCCAAGCCAAGCCATTGCATCCCCTGTGACTTGCACATATACGCCCAGATGGCCTGAAGTAACTGAAGAATCACAAAAGAAGTGCAAATGCCCTGCCTCTCCTTAACTGATGACATTCCACCACAAAAGAAATGAAAATGGCCTGTCCTTGCCTTAAGCGATGGATGATATTATCTTGTGAAATTCCTTTTCCTGGCTTATCCTGGCTCAAAAAGCTCCCCCACTGAGCACCTTGCAACCCCCACTCCTGCTCACCAGAGAACAACCCCCCTTTGACTGTAATTTTCCTTTACCTACCCAAATCCTATAAAACTGCCCCACCCTTATCTCCCTTCGATAACTCTCTTTTCGGACTCAGTCCGCCTGCACACAGGTGAAATAAACAGCCATGTTGCTCACACAAAGCCTGTTTGGTGGTCTCTTCACACAGACGCGCATGACAAATATCATGATTATTTTGTGTATTCATGCATTTGTGGGTGGGCAAACTGTGCCCCAAGGACAAATCTGACTTGTTGCATTGTGTGTGTGTGTGTGTGTGTGTGTGTGTGTGTGTGTGTGTGTGTGTATGTGTGCATGTAAGTACAGCTTTATTGGAACATAGCCATGCCCATTCATTTTGTCTCTAGCTGCTTTCACCTTTCAGTGGCTAGTAAATAATTATAATACAGACAGTATAGCCTGCAGAGCTTAAACTATTTACCATCTGGCCCTTTGTATAAAAAGTTTGGTGACCTCTGGTCTATATTATCATTTTATATTGAGCATCTTAAGACCAAATTAGTTGTTTCTAGACTAATGGTAGCTATATCATACTGAAAGGAAAAGATTGCACATTGACTAGAGTGTTAGAGAAAAGTCCATTTTTTCTCCTTCCTATAAAAATCAAAAAACTTATATACTTATCTATACTGCATGTTGTTGGACCCTTGAAAAAATATAGTTTTCTTTAATTATCCTTTTTAGTAATAACATCTATTTATATTAAGGATTCTTGTAATAAATAGTCCTATGAGCTTTTTATTGTATATTATAAAGATATTATTGAGTTTTTAAATTCATCATGTTACATCATACCGTACATTCATTTCTCCCAGGAGAAATGATCATGGTGCCTAATGGTATTAAAAATCTCAGAAGTTTGTTTTTATCTCATGAATATAATAAATTGTGTAAGTGATACTAACTTTGCCCTTTTTTCAAATTAAAATTTAAATGACAAATTTATACTTCACTTCTGATGAACTGGTAAATTCTGAAATTGAAAACCACTCCAAAAGACCATGATACAGTCATTTTTAATATTGCTGAAACTGCTAAAATATATGTCATTAGGCTGAGATAGGCTAAACAACTTCCACAGCTAGAGAGGAATCATTCCCTACCCCCTAGCATCCAGCTATCAATCCAGTTTTCTTCTTGTATTTACATAGGCAATAACTCATAAAAATAAAAATAAAATTGTATTTTTACAGGTGAAAAGAAAGCACTTGATAATGCTTTGAATATAAAACAAAGGGGCCTAAAATGGTCCTTATTTAGAAAATTTAAAAAAGAAATTAAAAATAGAATAACAAATTCTCAAAACTGTCCAGATTTATGGCATTCAAAAACATATACAGTCATTCAATAAAACACATTTGTGGAGTTTTATCACCACTGCAAAAGTTGCTCAATAGTAGTGATAGAATTTTAGTAAAACTTGAAAAGGCTGGTAACTTGTCCTTTGAAGTTGTGTAGTCCCAGGAAACGTGGAATTATTTTAAAAAGTTCTTTGCATTTGTGAAAGCACAAGAGAGAAAAGAGCATTAGTGTTTCTTCTTGACTGGGAAAAGTACTTAGAAAAGAGGGGGTATGACCAGAACAAGAGAGTGCAACGGTAATGAAACTCACTTAGTTTTAAAGCAAGATGCCTCTGAAAGGGGAGTATCATGGTTAAATGCAGCCAAGCACATACCGATTCTTCCACTGTGGCTACGTGGGATGTTTGAGCTCTGCCTAATCTATAGTCTTGCTAATCAAAAGTCAAGAAAAACAAAACAAAACAGAGAAACCTTATTTTTCCTTTGAGCATCCCATTAAAATACTTGCATCATGGCACAACTTATTTTAACATGATTTCACAGTTATATGTGTACTAAAGTGGCAATTCACAAATGTAAGTTTTTGAAAAAACTGTAAGTTATTCTCCTTAGGAAAGTCAGCATTCTACTCAGGTTGCTTTTGCCAAAGTCACCTAAATTGAAAAGATCCCTAGCTCACTGGCATAGCTTCTCCATATCCAGTCTTTAAATAGTTTCAACAATCTCACTGAAATCCAACTGGCTCATAGCCCGATCATAATAAAAATCCAAAGTGTTGCTAATTGGCTAGAGAACGGAATTTGAAATTCTGACAGGAAATATTTCCTCACCCTCGATTGAGAAAAAACAGTGCACAGATGGTCAAGGTGATGCACGTTCATGTGCCCTCAAAGATTTATTTCTTTCAAATTCTTATGTCAAAATTGTGCTTAACAAAAAATATAAATAAATAAATAAAAGGAAGCTCATCTCTAATCTCTGGTTTAAAGTGTTCATTGTTAACTCCTATTATAATTTAAGTTTTTAACGGATTCAGTCACCCTTCCCTGCCTGTAGTTTAGATTACTGCATGAACTTCCAATTCTACCACAAGTAGAAGTTTCTATGTCAATTATAATTCTTTCTGAGGACAAGAACACTGAGGTCACATCACATCAGTACTTTCTGCCCTGTACTGATACCGATCAAATTCTGAAAATAATTTAAGGTTTTGATCCTTAGCCTTAGGGCAGAAAACTCGATAGAATCTAGCAATTTCAGAAACCTTATCATGTTCTACACCACATTACTCAGAGCAACTATTTTCAACAAGCAGTCTGTGGTATTGATCCTAAAACTGAAATAGACAAAATTCTAGGTCAGAATACTCCTTTAAAATCAATGGAATGGTAGAAATTAGTTTGAAAATTTCTATCAAGATATGAGAACATTCTCAGAGAACTTGGCAACAATTTAGCAGGTTTATTATTTCACTTGTTTATCAAAATATTCTTCAAGCCATAACTTTGTGAAGTTTCCTCTCCTATTTCCAAACTACTTTACAGTTTCTCAAAGGTCCCTCCTCCATTCACTCAGCCTAATTCTCCACATCTTTACCACTTACTTGACAAAAAATCAAAAGTCAAATATCAGGAACACCTTCT